AGATATGCATTATCACCAAGACACTATTCATTCTTAAGTTCTCTAATCGCTAAAACAATGTGTTATTATCTGTAAATAACTGAAATAAAATGTTTTGTGAATCTAGAAAGCAAAAAAAAAAAGTGTTTTTGTTTTTTTTTTTAACATGATTCAGCAGATAAAGTAATCAGGTTGGGAATCTTCTGTCCCCACCTTTTTTTTTTTTTTTTGCCAGAAAAGCTGAGAGTAGAATTCTTCATAAGTCAGTTTAGAAAAACTTAACTTCTATGATTCTCTGAGTGCAGGTCTAAAAAAGGTTCAGCTGAGGCCCTGCCCTGGGAGTCAAGAGACCTTGTCTTTTGTCGTAGTCCTGCCAGTACTATGTCTCCTTGGCCAAATAACTCACCCTCTCTATGACTTAAAGCTTGCCATCTGTACATTCAAGGGCACGCTCTGAAATTCTATGATTGGGATTCTTAGATTATTCATTTCTTTGAGCTGCTCTTTATTCTATGGAAAGTAAATTTGAATCCAACATTCAACAGCCAAAGCAGCTAGAACAGGGGTTGGAAAACATTATGTAAGAGATAATAAAGATTTTAGACATGTGGGTCATAACTCGCCAGCTCTGCTGTTGTAGAAGGAAAGACAATATGTAAACAAACGAGTATAGATGTGGTCCAGTAAAACCTTACAAAACAGAAACTTGAAGTTCATGTGATTTTCACCTGTCATTTTTTCATTTCTGGTTGAAAAAAAAAAAAAAGGGAGAAGGGCATTCCCTACTTAGTGAAATACATGAACAACGGACTATAGTAGAGAATGAAGAGAGGTGATTTTAGCCCCAGTAGCACAGAGTAAGCTAAGGTTTGCAGTGGGACACAGCAGGAAAATAGATGAGGAACTGACGAGAGTAGGCCTTGAATGTTAATGCCGAGAGTCAGGAGGGTTTTGTGCTGGTGGTGAAGTGGTGCCCTAAGCCAACTGAAACCAAACGCACTATCACTGAGTCATTTCTGACTCAGAATGAGTCCTGGTGTGGCACGTGGGCTAAGGCATCAGACTGCAAAGTCATTTGAACTGCAAGGTTGGTGGTTCAAGCTCACCAGCTGCTTCTTAGAAACACTATAAAGGGTCGCTATGGGTCGGAGTCGACTTGATGGCACTTAACAACAACAAATGACCATATAGGATAGAGCAGAACAGCGCCTTAGGGTTTCCAAGACTAGAAATCTTTACTGGTGGCACCCTAGGAGGTTAAAAAAAAAGTCAGTAGTATGTAGTTCTCACTTTATGTATTTATAATCATCACTGTTACATGTTGTGATTCAGTGTCCCTCACTACCTTCGTCTTTTTTGTACCACAGTTCCTGGACCTTTCCTTCAACAGCCTGACTGGGGAGGCCATCTGTGACCTGGGGATTCTGCCCCATCTCCGGGTCCTTCTCCTCACAGGAAATGGACTCACCTCCCTTCCTCCCAATCTGGCTGTCTCAGAGCAGTAAGTACAACATCCTTGAGAGCATGCTGTGTGTTTTCTCGAAAGCCATTGTCTGAATGTACAAATATGCAAGGAAATAGTCTAAAGTAGCTTGGAAATGCTGTCAAGACAGGCTGTGTGTACTCAGGGAGAAAGTCACTTCCAGAAGAGCCCAGGAAAGGCAGCCATGGGAGCAGCCGCCCAAAGGTTGTGGAGGCCTCAAATGGACATCCTCTGTGCTATTAGGAGACATCAAGAAAAGATGGAAGGAATACAGAGTCATTGTACCAAAAGGAAATGGTCAATGTTCAACCATTTCAAGAGGTAGCATATGAACAAGAGCCAATGATACTCAGGGAAGAAGTCCAAAGTGCATTGAAGGAATTGGCAAAGAACAAGGCACC